TCAATTGCAAGTTTGAACTAATAGATAGCTTTTACTTGGGCTAGATAATTCATCAATGTATACATTGATGAATTATTCACTCATCACTCATATATGAGTGAATATGCAGGAAAGATTTATCCCACACAGACAATGCTTGTACAGACAACAGACAGAGCCAATATATGACAGAACGTCAAAGTTGACTTCTGCAGTATTTTTCTGCATGAGTGAAATTTGTTCGGATCTGTCTGTTGTCTATACAAGGATTGTCTTTGTGTGATAACCCTTTGCTGCATATTCACTCATACACTAAAGTTTGAACTAAAAGTGTAAATTGAATCAACACTGAAACCGACGATTATCTCTAGGGTTGAAGAAGAGTCGAGGGTTCACCGGTAGAAGGGTTTACGCGCGGTTAAAATATACTAATAGCGTAATATATGACATATGTTTCAGAAAAAGGCTACAGGCATATTCGGGAAAAACTGTCTCTGCAACACTGCGGTAGCAGAGTTTATTAGACAAATTGGAGGAGCGATTTTACTGGCATTGCGAAGCACTGTAGAGTGCAAGGATGACAGAAAATGGGCTAGCGTTAAGCATGGGAAAACGAAGGGTCTCTTCTCATTTGACTGACGTTTTTGCACTGTAGAGAGAACGGGTATGACTCACAAATAGAATTTGTGTTTACCTGAATTAATAAAATTTTAAAGTTTGTTTTTACACATGTGATTGATTATAACTAAGAAAGTGATCGAAACTAATAATACTATCGTGAATTAGTTCGTACTTGGCTTTTCTCACCTGTTATGTTCTCGATTTAAAGCGCAGAGAAAAAGGTAAATAAAGGTGTGAATCGAAAATTGAATATATGTTATCGCTCAAAGCAAACACTCAAAGTATATTTTTCAATTCCTATTCAATTAAACAAACTACGACATCAGGATTATTAAATAATAGGTTTTGAGTCAAAATAAATATTATGAAGTAAAAACTGTTTTTCAGTTATGTTTCGATGAATGGCACTCCCTTTTTTTGCTTTAATTGACGTACAGTCCCCAATGAGATTGTGTAGTCGTTCCATCCCATATATAAACAGACGTCATGAAAGTCAATAAAATAAATATTAGGAAGTAAAAACTGTTTTTCAGTTATGTTTCGATGAATGGCACTCCCTTTTTCTGCTTTAATTGACGTACAGTCCCCAATGAGGTTGTCTGGTCGTTTCGTCCCGTATATAAACAGACGACATGAAAGATGTTATATACAATATTACTACTTTATTAAAAAAATAATACACTTCAAACACGACAGAAATCAACAAACAGAATATTAATATTAGCATTGTGTTTAAATGAAGTGAGTAAGTTTCAATAAAGTAGAAAGAACTTTTTTCAAAAATCCATCAGCAATACTCATACTCAACGATGTCCAAATACCTGTTATATCAATGGCTGTTAATTGCAATTGGAACAACAATAATTAGCGGAGAAGATCTTCCTGGTCTAGATTTTCTCGCATCGGGATTTGATGCCTTGAAAATGATCTCAAACAATGAAGATGTGAAATCATCAGATCGATCAAGATTTCGTTTATTTGATTTAACAACAGATCGTGATGGTTCTCCATTCAAACTGAATGCGAATGATGTTAAACAAACCTTTGAAACACCTTCAACTGTACAAGTTACAAAGATAAATATGAGGAATACGGTTAGTGTTGAAACGGTTTCCTACACTTATCAAGAGTTTTTTCACAGGTAAGTAAATGAGGTGACAATTTGATAGCAGTAGATCTATCTTTCATATTTCTTTCTTGCAGTTATTTTCGTTCGTATTCGTTTGATGTTGGTATATCTGTACCAACTGAAGCTGGTCCTGTTGGAGTTGGACTCAGTTATCATGAAACATTGAGTAGAGCATATCAGAAGATAACAAAAGATCATTCAGCTGTTGGCATATCAACGGATTGGTGGGGATTATTTTCTGTTACGCTGGCACCAGCATTTACTTTAACGTAGGTTGCTAGCATTTTTCAGTTCTCTGTTGAATTCTCTACAGACGCACTCACTCGTTTCTTCCAATAGATTCGATCCCATATTTAATCGTACATTGTCGAAACTTCTTCCAAATCCAACGACTGAAAAACAACAAGCGTTTTACAACTCATTGGTTATGTCTTTTGGTACACACTACATATCATCAATTGTTGTAGGGGGTGTCGTTGAAATGTTTACACAGGTGGACAGTAAATATCAAGAAGAACATAGTAGTTTATCAATTTCACAGAGTATTGGTATTAGTTTTCAATTTCAACAAGCACAAATAGGATCTAGCGAAGACTTTGGCAGTACGACTAATATAAGTCTTACAAATTTTCGTAAAAATTCACAATTAGAAGTTAAATTCGTACCAGCCGTAATCAAAACGCCGGCAACGGAACGCATTCAGTATGGTCTATGGGTGAATAATACGGCAAAAACACCAGCAGTTATCAACCGTACGCTGTCATCCATAACAGATTTGTTATATGATATGGATATTCAAGTTCGACGACATTTACAACTGACAATTGATTACTATCTTGAAAATGGAGAAGTGCCAACAGTTGAGAAATTACAGGAGGCTAGTCGACGACGAAAACGACGAAGTAGTGAAGATACAGATTTGATTCCAGGTATGGATGTTGTCGGATGTGGTTATGATATATTTTCCTTGGAAACTAAATCATGTCTATTCGATTTAACAACAAATGACAATGAAACATGGATTGATGTATTTAATGATCGAATATCGTATCAAGTACCAGATGGCTACTTTGTTAGAGGTACTAAAGATTTATTAATGATGAGTGACACTCAGTTTTTCGATTCATACAAACAGTTCATCACAGAATCCTACTACTCCAGTCAGAACGATGATATGGGATTTTTTGCCTTTGGTGCATCAAGCGATAGTACGGAAATCCGGACAAAATACAGTCGTTTCTATACCCATAAATATCGCATGGCATGGCACAAACGACAAGTTATTTGGTATACACTAGCTGTAGCATCCTTTCCAACGCCAAAGTTCAATGCTAAGACACGTCTAACATTCGATCGATTACCAACAACATTCAATTCAGATAACTCAACAGATAATTATAATAAATGGCAATCATTCTTCGATTCGTATGGTACACATTTTGTTGTTCGTTCAGATCTCGGTGGAATGTTTTGGGCTGAAGATTACTTCGAGTCATGTTTGATCAAGAAAATGACTGAAACTTGGATACGAAGAGAAATCGAACGGAGGTACTGGTTCTTTGGCACCGAAAAAGAAATAAAAGAAACGTACAATAGGCAGGTCAGTGAAGAATACAAACAAAATTCCATATCAAAATTTAAAATTATTGGTGGTCTAACAGCAATCACTCCCCTCAAAACAATTGACGATTGGATGCCAACAATCAAAGATCAACCAAGTCCTGTCAGCTATCGCCTTCAACCAATATATACCTTGCTACCGGTAGGAGCACAGCGTGAAGCACTGATGGAGGCTACATTCTATTTTCGATCTGCAATGGTCAACAGTTCAAATTTGTACATTCAGCGACTTAAATCAGAAACTAGTCCACCAGAATTACCAAAATTACATTGCACCGAGAAGAAACGAAGAAGGAAACGACGAGCACTACAGAACCCATTTCTCTCCGGTTTAGCAACAGCCCGTGCAAAGCTATGCCCAATTATTGGTTTCAAAGGAAGATTTTGCCCTGGTGGTATTGAAGAGTCAAATGATATCAGCAACCCAACAAATTCCTCGATATCATCGTCACCTCGATATCATCGTCACCACGTACAAAAACTTCGCGCCAGTTGTTGTCGGATCCCATACAATTGCCACGAGTTGTCGGTATGGCTATTGATATTAGTACAGGTGATATTCTCCTGCCAGCATTGGAATTAACTGAGAGTACAACAGGCCCACAGTGGACTGATCCCGAATCAGGTCAGGTGTTCTATACCCCTGAAGAAGTTAAATTAGATTTGCCGTCATCGATTGATAACAGTGTGAGTGTAAGTATATTCAATACAGAAAATGAATTAGTTGACGTTTGGCTACGTGGTTATACAGCCGGCGGATGGACTGGCGGTGAATTTGCGCGTTCAAAAGATATATCTGATGTTTACAACCGTTTCTTTAAAGATAATCAAGCAACATCGATATCACAGGATCTGAAAGTGATGTATACTATCACTATAAAGGAAAATTCACGAAAGTTGAATCAATATGCTCAACAAGCCGTTAATCAATTGACTTCACCTTATGATTCAACATTATATAATAGTTTCCTAGATGCATGGGGAACTCATATCACCGTTTCAAATAAAGTAGGTGGTATGACAGAACAGCAAATGCAGTTTAAAAACTGTATTATGAATACAACGATTTTTACAGATGGTATTACACGTTTCTCACTGGAAAGAAATTTAAAAGAGGAATTACTGTTCAGACGCCCATGTCTCGATGAATACTATTGGTTAAGACGCAAGAAATTGATCGATCATCGTATAGGCGGGGATATCACACTAATCAACAATACGGCTGAGTGGCAAAAAACAATTGTTCATGCACCAGCTCTACTTTCGATTGTCAAGTATATTCCATGGGATGAGCTGATTGTAAATGAAACGATTAAGGCACATTTACAATATGCCATTATGGCACGTGTCAATGAAACGAATAAACAACGTCAATTGCAAGCCGCACAAATACGAAATGAACGCGCAAATTTACAGTTAACAGGTAAAATTGTTTACGCTTATACATTGAACAACGGAATTACTTATGTTCTGGGTAACGATATAACAATGAATGGAAGTCAACAATGTCCAACTGGTATTGAATCTCATGTACAATTGGTTAAATCGTGTGTGACAGGAACAACAAAGATGGGAGCGTGTTCTATAGCCGTGGAGAAAAATAGGTTAGTCAACTAAAGAATAAACAGAATTTTCTAAGCCAACTAACTGTCGGATGATATGCAATGAGGCGTTTAGGTTGAAGTAGAGCAACGGCAGAACGAAACTCCAAAAACGTTGACATGCATGGGGTACTAGCGCTACACTGTTCACACACGTTTCTCTCTTGATCTCGCCGAGGAAAAAATATGCGTATATATTTCAGTCTGATGTGGTTAACACAACACTAGTAAAGCCAAAAGAAATTAAACTTTAACTCCACATCTCCTTCGATGTATATCCTTCGGTTGTTTATTAGAGATTTATTTCTTTACTTTTGAGTACATGATACTTTCATATTACAAGTACTAGTGCACCTGAAATGATTGTGTCGGTGTGTTAGGATTTCAAGTTTAGTTTAGCTAGTTGAAATTCTAGTTGAAAATCTTCTACGTTTTTTAAACATATTTTATTTCAGTTTTGGTCAAGATAGAATTAATATCACAACCGCAGTTCCTCTCATTTATGAACGTAATAGCACAACTGGTAGTTTTCGCCTGATAGCACGACGTCAGTATGGTGAATTCTTAAATAGAAGCGAGGCTGAACCGAATCGCATCCAGTTTAAAAGTGCGTAAAAACAATTACTTTCTTTTCTTCTAGACAACACAATGAGATTCTTTGCCTTTTTGAATAGATTATGATGTCGAAGGCAATTGGGTGCAAATCGGGTGTTCAGCAATTGATAATAATTGTATCCAAACATACATACCCACCACAACATCTACCCAACCGCCTGCTGGAGTTACTGTACAGGCCTACACGGCGCAATATCAGTCGCCACCTGGCTTTACTCCTACAGTTGCAAATATGATAACATCATACTTATGTTCCGGCTGTGATGTATTATGTGCATCACAAACAAGTTGCAATTGCTACTGCTTGCCTTACGAACAAGATCCAGAAGCCGAGCCTTTCTTCCCATATTGTTAAAAACATCTACTAGACGATCAAAAGCCGGCTAATATCATGAATTATTTCTTTCAATTTCAGTTTAGTCCTTTTACAAATAACAAAGATGTTTTTTTAATAAACACGTACAAAATTAAAAAGTTGTTGTCAGTGTAAACAATTGCACATAGGTGAATTATAATAAATATAGTAGTTGCACCGGCTAAACTTAAAACAGTGCAAAAGTCTAATTTCTTGCAAAACAAGGACTTAGATGTAGTTCTAATGTAAAGAAGAGGATGTGTCTTCGAAACATGTTTTATTTCATCTACTAGTTTCGTTTCCACTTAGCGTTAGAAATATATTTTAGACCATATTGTAGCACCTTTAATTCATTTGTATTTAATGCTCATGTCTTGCACAAACAACATGTTCCGATACGCGAAGCGGTTCTCCAATCTATAATCACCTAATTCGATCCATATCTTAAAGGCGTTTCATAAGTCTTGACCCGATTTATAAGGTTCGTTTTTCCAGGATTTAATAAGAGCTACGGTCATTGAGTTTACAGCAGTAAACTTGATATTAAACTAAACAATATAATATGCTCACAGCATTTTTGGATTGAAAAAACACGGGAAAACAAAACTTACAAATGGGATCAAGACTTATGAAACATTCTTTAAAACTTCCCCGTAGAAACAAAATAAAAAAATGCAAGGAATTACGCAATCAACGTTTATCTTCAATTTATCATATGTTTATCATAACATTGATCGATTGAAAGACGTGATGAAAACAAATGGAGATCCTGAGCACATTATTGTGGCACAAGAATAGAAGAGGGAGAGCCAATTAATACGTATTTCATTTTCACGTTCAGCTAATGCTGAATAATCATACGGAAATCGTACTACTCGTATGCGTCCAGCATTGTTAATTAAAATACGAACAAAATGATACAATTCGTAAGGGATTTATAAGTAAGCTATAGTTGGTACTCTCTTTGAAGTATCTTTCTTTGAGATAAAATTCTATAGTGTCTTATAAAATAATACTTGTATAATGACATAAAGCGGCAGCGGATTTTTCCTGCCGCTTATCAGGTTCACCTTTTAGCACTAGCTCTCTGCACGGTAGAAAAACTTTGTCAGTGTACTCCTCCAGGTCTAAGTGTGAAATTCTTATGTCAAACCGAATTATACCTCGAGAAGCTTTTCAAGATTTTTTAGCATCTTGCACTCTTTGCACTAGTTCGCACGATTTTGGTCATTGTGTCTGTACCTCAGAGGTAGTGATTGATGGAGACAGTCTAAAGTGGACCCAAATTTGAAACACTCAAACTGAAAAAAGGCATTGAAAAAAGCAGTTCGTAAAAATACATCTAAAACGTGAACTCACGATCTCTTTGTAAATCGTTTAGCATGTGCCGAAATGCAGCTTCCAAACTTAAGAAAAATGTAGCCGAAAAACCAAGAAGCAATTATTTGTAAATTGCTATGAAAATTTCTTTCTTTTTTTCTTTCGCTAAAAGCACAAAAAGCTAAAAAAGTATTTATGTGTGTTTCTAACAGTACGGTAAATAGGGCTTCCTGCCCAAGCAGGAAACGTTCGACCCACCAACTTTTTTCCACTCTACCGAACACGGCCCATCTGTCTAAAAATCCTCGTTACGCCATTGACGAAGTCACTACTTGAAATAGTAATATTCGACATACAGTTCTATTGGCAAGTCAATCGTATGGACTACTCTAATTATAGTATATTACCCATATATTGGGACGTATAACTGAGTCAATGGATATGAATGCACATTCATCTGACATTTAGTTAATAAGATATTTCGAAAGAAAGAGATCATGATCAATATTATTCAGTGGAGTAACCATTCGAAATTACTTGAACATGAGCGAAAAGAGGCTTTTTATTCATAATGGTTAAGTATTTTCAAAAGAGATTAGAATGATTTGTCCATGTAGTGGATGAGCAAAAATTTGCTCTTTGAATTCCCAAATTTTAAAGTTGAGACTGACCGCCAAATCCACGAAACAGGAACAAAATCATAAAACCCTACTGTCAAATTTGGAATTGTATCTAGGTTTTTCCATTGAAAGATTAAGTCTTAATTGTTATTTCCTTCTAATCAGTATACTCGTAAAAAAAAGTACTAAACGCTTTTTTTAAAAATTTTGTTTCGTTGCTGAGAAAATTTATTTTTTCTAAATCAGGGCGAATAACTCGTAATTTCGCTCGTGATTATTAATTTTCTCCATCAGAACTCAACTTTTGAGCAATACAAATATCACATTCGGAATCAGGATCAAAAACTGAGTCGACCAATGTGTATCCTATTCGAGTACTTTAAGTTTCTTCGACTCTCGAACGCCGACATTTAAGCGCACGACATAATATAAACGTATTGAAATATGTAATAACACATGATCTACCGACAATTATTTTAAATCGTAGCGATAACCCAACACGTAAAATTAATCAGTTTTATTCAAATCAGATTCGCTGCTCTCTTCTTTCACTAACGCTCACCGAAAAAAGTAATCAAAATTCATGCAGGATCCCCGCGGGTTGTAGTATTAAAATATCTGGGGATGTTTCTTACCTTTACGCAAGATTGTTATACTGCCAGAACGCTGCATAGTTTATGTAAGATTAGTATGGAAAAAATCCTGCGTAAAGGTAGGAAATATCGCAAGACTTTTTGATTTACTCAGTCCACAAGTGTTTTCCTGCGAGACCTGGCAGGCTTTTGCTGGTTGAAAGAAAAGGATTTTGTCCTCCATGTCTATCCTGCGGTATTCAGCAATCTTTTCTCACCAATGTCTGTCCAGGGTGACCGTCGAGGCACTTGTCCGTTTTTGTTCATTAGCGTCAAATAATCTACTCTTTTTATTCATTGCGTTTTTATCCAAATAGTATACACAGTCAACGAGGCTGTCAGTTTCGAATATAACATTTACGTCGAAATGTTGAATGTTGTTTGCAACTATTTTCTTTCAAGCACCTCAAATGGATTTGAATATCGCAAAACGCATTTTTCTTCCTTTGTTCTCATGTATTCCCTCATCTTTTTCAAACATTGAAATTGTGTTGACAATGATATTCTGCGGGAACGACACCCGGTCCCGTTCCCGGAAAATATTTTTTGTGTTCCCGTTCTTCTATTTCCTTTCCAAGAAAAACGTTTTCTTAACGCTCCCGTGTTCCTGTTCTCGCAGATAGAAATATAACCTGATACATAGATCGGCGGTGACGACGACTGAAAATGTTCAACTTCTTTTGTCTGTCGACGGAGACAACTGAAATTTTCAGAAAATTTCTTAAAAAACTTTTTTGATTCCGAGAACTATCACATGAAAAAAGGAGGAGATAACGGTAGAGAACACACTGATACAAAAATTAGACAAAAGCACTCGACAAATCATCTTAAGGTTCAAAAATGTTTCAAACTTTACTAATCTTCCTTTTGTCTGGGTGACAACGGCAGCTCAGCCCACAAGTTTATACTTCTAACTACAAGACTTTCGGAATTCTTATTTCTGTTCCATTTTTAGGTTTTGTGAAAAAGTATCACTGGCATACACTAACTTCTCGTGATATAACGTTTTGCACAATGTGACATGACTTTAAATCAAAAATAAAATTATGATTGGAGATGTGGTTAGTTATTACGTAAAAATAAATAGCTATTTTATGAACATAACTTAATGTGTATGAAAATAAGAACAAAAGCTTTCCGGAGCGTTAGTATTTAATGTCATTTTCGTTCCCGAAGCCTTCACGTGAATTCTCAGCTATGTTTCCGTGGAAAATGGAACAAAAAAGTCATTCCCACATAAGACTATCTGAAACATTAAATAACAGGATATAGTGGTGTATATAGAAAACCTGTCGTGAATAAAGATGGATTACTATTAGTCGTATTCTACCCACATTTGGCTATTCCTTAACTTGACTTCTTATCACGATACTTATCCAGATGCTGTTACTCACTTTTGACTGTTAACCGAATGGGAAACGACTTTCGATTTAATCATGCCTTACGTTCATTACTGAACATTTTTAGCCTCGAACAGACAAGTTAATAACAGTCTCGAATGACTTGTCACTAGCTGCTGATTGACAACAAGCTTTTGTTAGAGAAATCGCATCTAACCTACTAGTTTAACATAATTTACCCATTTCAACTTCGCAGAAAAGCAGTGCATTTCGTTTTTTCTTTCTTTTTCTTTGCCTCACAACATATCCCTTAACATAACAATCCTTAGACAACAATTCAAATGAGTAACATAGGAATATGCAGGAATGGTGAAAGAAATGAATCATACTAGATAGTGAAAGGACGAAAAATATGTTGTCGAGCAGTTTAAATATTTCCGGATTCGTTTGACGACATCATTTAGAGTAGTGTTATTAAGGTGAAATCGGATCAACGTTGGAGTGTGCGTATGACGAACTTAGAATTGTCACATTGACACAATATCCATTTAGATGATTTTTTGATTCCCTTGATCTGCTTTGCTCATAAGGAATTTTGACTACGTAGCATTTACAAATAACATTACTAAACTTGGAGAACTTTTCAGTGACTATAGAAGAATTCCTATATATTCTGAGAGTGACTTTCGAAAATTAAACATCAGAATTATTTAGTAATCATTCAAACAGATTTTTGAGGATACACACTACACAACTGTTGTTAGTATTATGTTCAGGTCAGGTCAAACTATGAAAGAAATTTTTTTCCTCCATTTGAAATCTAAGGAAACCATCAAATATTAGTGTGTTGGAAAGCGAGAGTAGGAGTATTTTCTTAAAATAAATTGCTGATTCATTTATGACCTTTATGTCATTTATCAATCAAAATAAAACTTAACTTATTTCCCATATGATAAAAACGTGTTTGACTTTAACATTAACGGCTTGGCTAAATGTTACGAAATTTCGTTTTTTCGTCTTGTGTCAGAGTGGTCATAACTATTTTGTCATATGTCGTGTCAAAAGTTTTCATAAAGATGTCATAAACAATCATAAATTCATTCCATTCATGTCCTGTCATGGCATGTGTCAAACAGATATCCATAGATGATCAAACATTCATCATTCATACATTCATGTTTGACGTATGTCAAACGTGTCATGCCACAGTGTTTCAGAACGAAACCGGCTACTACGACTGGAGCCTTGACAATATGTTTAACTTTAGTATAGGTAGATACTCGGCAAAGAAGTAACGTTTATCAATAAAATTTATACCAGTGATGGATATTAGGAAGTTCTACTATCAAAATAATTTGAGCTTGATTGAACAACCGAATCAAAAGTTATAGTCAAAATAGAGGCCGTTACGGAATTTCAAAAAATGAAAGTGTTTTTCGGCGTATTTTAGTAAAAAAGACAACTCTGTTGTCCAAAATTCCCAATATACTCCAACTTTTCTAAAGCGAACTCAAACTCCACTTAAAAATCGCCCAACTTCGAAGTTGGAGTTGCCCAGCCCTGCTGACGCAGAACAACAGCATGTACAGATAAATTGTTGGATTTCATTAGAGATTACTTTGTAGAATACTGACTACATCCTATGATATTGGATATAGGAATATTATGATATTGCACAGAACGCTCATGTGAGCATGATAACTATGTTTCTGTAGGATCTCGTTTAAGAATATCGGAGAATTTCAGTCATTTCATATTTCAGCCACTTTTGATCTTCAATTATTTCTTTTAAAAAAAGCTTGTAGTATTATATCCATCATTCATTTTTACTAAAAGACAGGCAACACATAGTTCTTTTCCCCTTCTCTATATACCTACAAGTATATACATACAGTCATTTGACCCTTCGTTCTTCCGCCATGTGACTAGCACATTATATATTTTCAAAAAAATATTGATTATGCCTGATTCTAACCTCAGATTTCTCTTTTGAAGATATATAATGTGCTTGTTACTCACAAGTCGAAAGAACAAAATTCTCCTTAAGAGAATTTTGTACATATAGTCAAACGACTGTGTGTATATGTCGTGCCGAAGTTACCCTGTTTGCCGAAGTTATAACTTCGACACGCAGTTTTGTCGTAAATAAATATTTAGTTATTACTTGATGACATTGCTATTATCAAAATATATAGTTAAGGTTTAATTTTCCGTTGAGCAGCATACGCATATCTATTTAACAACAAACAAAAATGTACAAATTATTGAGAATAAGTGAGAAGTACATTTTCTGGTACTTTTCGAATCTTTTGCTTAGTTGATTACGGTGTCATAATCAGAAATAAAACTGACAATTAACGTACAATATATGGTTCAGAGAAGGAGAAGTTAGAGGTTTCTCCGGTCAGAAGTCTAATCTGGTTAAATAAAGACTTCACTTAGGCTTGACTTACTCATCTATGACACAATTAATTGTGAACTGTGTACTAATCACGTATGAATTAAGCCGATAGAGTAAATAATAAAAGCGAATGTCTAAAGCTTACGCACGAACAAATAAAATTCGTCAAGCTGCAAGAGAAGGTCAGAAGCGGCAAGCCGACGAATTTTTACAACGTACAGCTAAAAAACAAAAATTAGCAAATTTTAATGTTGGTGATAATGTTGTAAGTGTTTTAATTAGGGCTGTCGGAGTTCCGTTATGTTTGTACTAACTACTAACGAAAACACTTAGTAGTTATTTAAACTACTAACTGAAATAGTTAAAAAAATAGCAGCGCTTGGATCTGCTCTATTCAATAGAGTCTATTGGAGTGCGCATGAGAACTAGATGAAATTTTTCTGCTAGTTTTGATGTTCAACAGGCTGTTGGAATAGTCAAATGAATAACATATTGTCTTTAAAAATCGAACTGTTCGACCGCATCCTTGGTCATTGAAAATGATTGCAGATTTGTCAACAAAAAATCTGAGCAGTAACAATAGTCTTAATTTGCCACAATTTTCTTTCATTCTGAAAAAACAAGTGACATACCCGACTCTAGCCAAAGAACAAGAGCATGGGTTGGAAAATACGGAATCAATGAGAGAGAGAGAGAGAAACGGTTTGAATGATAAGCAAAAATAGTTTCATGCAGGCACGTAAGAAAAACGAGTATAGTTTTCGGATTAGGCCTTTGGTATCAGTTTCCGAACCGTATGTTTATCTTTGAGAACCATACAGCAGCGGATCGATGTCGAAGAAAGAGAAGATCTTTGTTTTCTATTAACAAAACCGACTACATTAAAAGCGGCTTCGCTTGCCACCGATGTTGATGGCACAATATTGAAGCATCGGACGATTTGAGCAAGACGAGGCAACATAGTTTTATGCTTGGGGGGGGGGGGGCGGCCGCGCCGCCGCCGGGGGGGGGGGGGGGGGGGGGCGGGGGGGGGGGGGGGGGGGGGGGGGGGGNNTTTTTTTGGTCCCCCCCCCCCCCCCCCCCCAAAACTGCTGAAATTCACCGCCAACCTGAGCTGCTTTAATGTAGCAACTCAGTTCTTCGTCTATACTTTGTCCTGTTTTGGCGGGCAAATTCGTTGATACACTGAGGCCACACAGATTTCTGAACGTATCGAGTACATTGAGGGCTGTTGATTTGGCAGAATGCGTTGTAGGCGAATGTATTGGGTCTGGCAACTGAATGAGTTTCATTTCCGCAATAATTAGTTTCTTAGCCGATCGACGATCAGTTTCGCTGAGTCGATGATACACAGATGGTTCCACGAATGCAGCAATCTACTTATCGAAAGTAAAACATTATTATCAGCTGATATTGCCATTTATAATATTGACATGAGACTCTACAATAAATTGATAAATTTTAGAAACTATTGTAAACTATCCTCAGCAATAATTGAAATCATACAAGATGTGCGCTTAATTATTCGAAAATAGAATTATAAATCTTCATTAAAAATAAATTTTGATTATGACTGGATGATGCCGAGCTTTCATGCGTATTCGGGATTACAGAACTAGTTTCAATTTTCTTTATACGTATATAAAAAACTGGAACAGCTCATCAGGTTGATTTTATTTCAACAAAACAATTTAGTAGTTACGAGACAATATTTCGAGCACTTAGAAATCCATACATACTAACTTATTTAGGCTGTTTTTATTTCGACAATGACGAAGAGGATTTACGAAAATTCTTTTCATTCTGGTTTACTTATATTTTTGACAGTTTGCTTTTGGTTTCAAGTTAAGTGAATATCAGCTTTATCCAACGCTAAACAGAGCATGAAGTAATGGAACTTTAAATGAGTACCAGGTACAAGGAAATGAGTCACATCGCACACGGCGCCTCATACGGAACGACGGGTAGAGTAAATTGGGAAAAAGTTATTGGAAATTTTTGTAGTATTTTTGGTATATTTCAGTCGTTTTTAAGAAATTAAAAGAGAGTTTTGGTAAATATTTAAAACAAACATTTAAATTGAAAATTGAGTTTGTTTAAGAGTATACATCGTCCTCTTTTCTATTAAGACTTCTGATTTTTGAGACCTGAGTTTTGACCACAATATACAGTTAAGCACTTTGACATCGATCAACTCCCTTTGGTCTTTCTTTCTTGAGTTATGCATCCTTTAAGATTGTCCACAGCTAATCTTAATTTATTATTGTTCACTTTGCAAAAAGTGTCCACTTGTGTATTGACCAGTCAAAATTTTTTCAAACACTTATTCCCATAGAGAAAAGCGTTTCCTTCAAAATGAGACGTCTGTCACATCTATAAAAACTTTCGTACAGGAAGCATAGAGTAAATTTGGAAAAAAGCGATCAATTATTAGAAATTTTTGTAATATTTTTCGTATAATTAAGCCGCTTTTAGGAAATTAAAAGGGGTTTTTGATAAATATTTAAAATAAACATTTCCCTATCGACTGATGTGAAAAAGAGTACGAGCGTAAAATACACAAAGGTAAGCAAATTACGAATTATCCACCAGATGACATTAATTCTGTACATAGTTTGTTGATGCTTGATAATACTCCAATTAATCCTGTATCCTAAATACAGTTAACTAAAAAAATGTTTGAATTTTCATGTCTTAGAATATGCTAACTATAGGTTACAGAAAAAACATTAAAATTAATTAAAATATAAACTATTCTCAAAATTTTTTATATGTTTCAATGATCAAAGAGTTTTAATAGTTGAATATGCCATTTTCAAAATATTATGATAATAACGTGACAACGAAAGTCCAGAAACATAATTAATTGACAATCCCATTCTAAAACTGATCTAATCTAAAATCAGATGTGTTTGAGATCTTCTTAATTGATTCTGGATGATAAACTAAAATTTAGGTTATAAAATAATGGTCGCTTAATGTTTCTAATTTTGGACTCATTTGAATTCACAAATTTGGTTAAATGTTTTTCTAAATCATTCCTAAAATTAAAAATGATTTTATTTCAAACATTAATAGAATGGGATGTCTGCCCTACAAAAACATGTTGAAGACACCTCTCACACTATGGATTGTGAAAATTAGCGCATAATGGATAGAGACAAAGTTTAGTATTGATTGTTAGTCAACGAGTCTCTCTTAATTGCATCATTCAATCCTGACTTAGATCGTACAGTTACGTAGACATGTATCTTTAATTGTGTTTTCTGACGGCGTTTCTCACAGAAAGAACAAGAAGGATACTGATCCAGGCGGATAAACAAAAAAGTTATGAAAGAACAACCTAAAATGATCGATAACAGAAATATTAACTGTTCATCACTAACACACTATATAAAGACAAAATTCTTTTCATTCCTTTTTACAAATTTTTAATCGTTCAGTACAGTAAGTGTTCTATATTTTTCTTTGAAAACGACTCTATGAAGAGTTGAAACGTCAGATCTTTTTTAATTAAATAAATTTAAATTTAACAGATAGCTGCTGTTAATGTAAAAAGGAATATTTTAGAATATTGTCAATATAAATAATTTTCATGATTCGTAATTATATTAAAAAGAGTAAACGTCAACAGCAATATACTGCTGAAGATTTAGAAAACGCTGTGAAGGCCGTAAAAAATGGTTTATTAATACGTGAAGCATCTCGTAGTGATAATATACCATATTCAACATTAAATGATCATGTTAATGAAAATGTTACATCTTTTGGTTCTGGACGTATTTCAATATTTAGTGAAATTGAAGAAATGAATTTAATGAATGCAGTATTAGTGCTTCAAGTAAACAACTTCTTTATATTGTTAGTCTTTTCTGTTCAAAATCTTTTATTGTAGGATTGGGGTGACCTTCAGCCAATTAATGATCCATGTATGTTAGCTGAGCAATATGTAATACAACTTGGGAAAGGCGCAATGTTTAAAACTGATCGTCCTAGCTATGACTGGATACAAGATTTTTTAAAACGTCATCCAACATTAACTATGAAAACATCAACAGCATTAGAAAGATGTCGTGCAGCATTAACGGTTGAACAAATAGATGAATAATTTAATTTATTAGATAAAATATTTAATACTAAAAGGATTATGATTTAGCAAATAAACCAGCACGAATATTCAATTGTTATGAGACAAGTAACTCATTCAAAACTTTAATAATAATAGATCATTAATACCTTCCCATATTTGTTGAAGTCTAGAACAATTAATGAGATAAAAGGCATTAGTTAAGACTCGAAAAAACTTAATTTCAATGGTGCATTGATTATTCCAATGCCTTAGTTATATAGCAACACACTCTGAGAATCCGAAATGAATGAGTTGCTCTGAAATTTTTAAATAATTATGATTTTCTTTTTAGGATTTAGTGAAGCAATAAAGCAAGAAAGGTTATTCTACGACGAGATTCAAGTAATTGATTTCAAATTGAAGGTGGTACAAGTGGTAAATCATTTACTAGTGTTTTATTATGTGTTTATGCAACAGGGAAAATAATACCACCATATATCATTTATAAATCAGAACGTTTAGTTGCTAAATAGTATGCTAACGGGTGGATGAATCAAGATGTATTTTATTCATGGTTTCATGATATGTTTATTCCATTTACTAATGATTCACCACAGCCAATTGTTTTATTTCCTAATGAACATAAATCACATTTTAAAGTCGAAATAATACAATTAGCTATTGAACATCGTTTGAACATCGTTATTATTTGTTTACCAGCACATGCCACTCATATACTCCAACCATTAAACGTTGTTTTTTTCAACCAATCAAATTAAAATGGAAAAATATGTTGCAGGCAAAATTGAAATTATGATTTTGCCTCTTTCAAATTCATGGTTTGTCTGGAAGATCGTTGGGCAAAGTTATAATTCTAAGTTTATCTGACTAAACTGGTCAGACAGAATTCAACTACAAGTGCTACCTTAAAATATTATTGGTCGGCTAGGAGTGAGGGTGCACCGGATTTCATAAGACTGCAGAAAGCTTCTAAAGACAGTCTCTAGAAAATCGGATGTCCAGAAAACTTTTGAGAGTGAGATACTGCATTAAGTTGTCGGATCAATCTGTAACAAGTACCACCTTGGACAAAAACATAGTTTTGATTATAATCAAGCACAAATCTTTTATCTTCTAACGAGGAAAATTAGACAGGTGTTATAGGTAAAATTAGAATTTGAATAATATTTAAGCAAGCTATCCATTTTTAGTAGGAAATACACATGGTCTCTAAGAAACTATTACCTACTTACTACTTACCAGTTTAATTGTGCTGGGATTATTTGAAGATTCTTTCCGTATCCCAATGTAATGGAATAGATTAGTCAAATTAATTCATCCTGAACAAATGCTACTCCACACACGTTGGGATCTTTTTTGTTTATTTTTTATTTCTTTGTCCTAAATCCAAATGAATAGTAACTAAATGTGTTACTGTACTATATATAATGTGTTCAAGAACAGACGAGACGGCAAACGCCAGTGCACCTATCAGGTGTGGCATAAACAAATGAAAAACTGACATTCAAGACGTCAGTTGTACAATACAGATACAAAAATAAACTCAAACGTCCGCTCGTGTTCTCTGATTCGAATATTTAATTCTTTTAACGACCTTGTATATCGTATTGATTATCGTTAGAGTGTTTCTTTTTCTTTTCCTTTGTTATGTATATTACTGCATCAGCCATCAGTTCTTCATCTGATGAACTGATTCATCCGATACGTACAAGGGTCTAGTCATATGTACAATAAAAAATTTTGTTTCCACTTACTACTATCCGTTCAAAAACACGGTGCATTTTGATTGCGTTGCAAATAACTTTTTACAGAGATGAGATAGAGACCTGTAGTTTTCATATTCTGAAAGCAGACAAAATTTGCCACAAACCCATGTAGAAGTCCGATCACGGACTCCGCCGTGGCAACATTTGTATCAGTGCAGAAATGAAAATAAGATCAGAAAATAAAATATTTTGAAAATTCGATTTTTAGCCTTTGACCGTCGTAGAATAAAAGTTTTATAATTCAACCATTTCTCGTCCAAATTGGCTCACGTTTTTAGAAAACGTTCAAAACAAGTCACAGATACAAGATCGAATCGACAAAAGGGGTTGTAAACCTTTATTACAAAATAGATTTTCCAGAAATCGTATTAAAACCCCTAGTAGGTAAGAAAATTTTTTTTTCTTGGATTCGTTCTTGTATCTTTGACTTGTTTTTTGAATGTTTTCTAAAAGTTTGAGCCCATTTGGACGAGAAATGATTGAATTATAAAACTTTTATTCTACGACGATCAAAGGCTAAAAATCGAATTTTCAAAATATTTTATTTTCTGACCTTATTTACATTTCTGCACTGATACAAATGTTGCCACGATGATCAGCGCGGTCGAAAACCGATTTGCCAAATATTTTTATAATAAAGGTCAAAAAAGCATCATCTAAGGCTGTCCTCGGAAAAAGGCTTTTTTTTGACCTTTTTAGAGACCTGTCTTTGAAAGACTCGCAAGGCTTACCACCTGTAGGTAGCGTCGGTGATGGGACTTCTACATGGGTTTGTGGCAAATTTTCTCTACTTTCAGAATATGAAAACTGCAGGTCTCTATCTCATCTCTGTAAAAAGTTATTTGCAACGCAATCAAGTGTACCGTGTTTTTGAACGGATAGTAGTAGCAGTATGTTATTGCATGAAATCTTTCGTGTTTGTCGACGTGACCGAAAATAAAAAAAGTGATGCTGGTTGACAGTATATATACCGGTATCATACCATCGTTGAGAGTATGTTCATCTGTTTTTAATCATCCTTCATATTGGTTGCTATTAAAAATGACTGCATGGGCTTCAAATTCTGCTACTCTCTCTACTCTTCTTCCTTCTATCGATTCTTCTGAAAAAGCTTTTAATGACGATTTTGAAAGTACGCCAACTCCTTAAGCGAAATATGGAAAGAAAACAGTTATTACGAAACCAATTTATGATGACATTATGAAAGCTTAATTACTTGAAAACGGTAAGAATTTGGGAGACCGGTCTGATTTGTGAAAATCTGCAATTTACATAATATCTAGATGTTCAGATATTCAGATATCTTCCTCTTTTCTTTCGGTGGCGAATATCAGGAAGCGCCTCACTCTCATCTTCCCTTGCCGCCCCCACCTTCCCTTTTCCCCATTTCTATAACATCTGAATATCTAAATATCTAACTTAAATATTAGAATATCTGAACATCCAGATATACATCTAGATATATTATGTAAATTGCAGATGTTCACAAATCAGATCCGACTTTCTAGTTCGAAAACCCATCAAACAACATGTTATTTCAAAGCCTTATATCATTGGGAACTATGACACGTTTACAGATAGATCTGATTGATATGAGAACGAATATTTCAAATGACCTTGTTTATCAAAGGATTTTGAATTGTACTGACCATTTTTCGAAATTTTTTTGAGCATTTGCTTTGCAAAACAAATCTGCTGCTGAAGTTGCGAAATGTTTAAGAGGTTTATTCTATGTTTTTGAATCACCGCATTTACTTCATTCTGTTAACGGTCGTGAATTTGTTGCAAGTGTGATTGATGAACTCATAGTTTTGTTCCCGGGAATGTGTTTTGTGAGAGGTAGACCACGTCATTCACAGTCGCATTTTATTTCGAGTTAGTGGAAAAAGGGTTCGTACGTTGCATGATAAAACGCCTGCAACGTCTTTATCTCCTAATGGAAGAGGGATAGAAACATTTCTTTTGACTATTTGAGAGCCCTAAGTCCAAGCGGGTAAAAGCATCACTTCACTTCACTTCAGTCTAAACCAGGACTGTAGCCGTTCACGTTGGTTTGGCAAAAAATTTGAATACAACGGGAACGGTTTTTTCCGTTGACGTTCTCAACTGTCAACTGTATCTATCAGTTGACGTTCTGAACTGTCAATTGCATGTTTTTAGTTGACGTTCTGAACTTCAACGGTATCTTGTCAGTTGACATTCTCAAGGGTCAACGTGAAAAACTATGTCGTTAGATGTGGTTATAGTGTAGTTCAGTATAAGTATGATGATTTCTAGACCGAAGTTGAGAAAAATCATGCGAAAGAAAATTGAAAAAAAGAGGCGAGAAATGAGCAGAATAACGTAGAAAACGGATAAATTTCTCAAAACATTTTCAGTGACGAGAGATCCTCATTCAAGTCAAGGCTTTACGGGGTAGGTTGAATGAAGGTTTCTCTCATTTCAGAATCTTCGACCAGTGGATTTCAACGTTGACAGTCCAGAACGTCAACTGACGAGATACCGTTGACACTTTCAATCTCGTCAGTTGACGTTCTAAACTTTCAACTTGAAAGTTTAGAACGTCAACTGATAAATTATCATTGACAGTTGAGACGAAAAACCGCTATGGCTACATACATCCCTAGTCTAAAGTCACTTCACTTCAGTCTAAAAACCCACTTCACTTCAGTTCAAGCTCCGCATAGGAAAAAAATGCAATAACTAGAAAAGTGTAAGGGTCTCGGTCATGAAAATGGTACAGTGTAGGTAATCGACCATGGCGAATCAGAAAATGGTTAGGATTGATATCAACCCTAACTGGTGACTGGCGGGACTGGTACCAAGCCTAACTGGTAACAAGCCTGACTGGTACCAATTCTGATTGTACCAGTACACCAATTCTAAGATTGGAACTGGTGCATACCTACCTTATGGTGATTACGGATGTGCGGTAGCCGGTAAATTCGTTTACCGTTACCGCGGTAACGGTAAAAATATTTTACCGCTACCGCGGTAAACTTAGTACGATAAAAAATTTTTACCGTTACTGCGGTAATCTCGCTTTTCGGTAAATTCATCTTACCGTTACCGCGGTAAATTTCGTACGGTAAGAACTCTTTTACTGTTACCGATTTTTTGTGTCGGTAAAAAAAACTATTACCGTTCATTTTTCCGGTAAATTTTTTTTACCGTTGTCTCGTTTCAATAAATGTTGTTTGCTTCAGAAAGGACCGTATATTATATAATCGGCCTAGAGGTAGGGAGTTAGCG